GCGCATTTGTAAAATGCAAGTCAATGCATGGACACACAAAAAATATTTGTTTGCTCTGTGTCCTGTTTACAATACAATGCTGTGTTGACCTGTATTGTATTGCGATAAAATGCATACATGTTGCATTTTTTTTTTTTTTTTTATAAATTCACTATTTAGTGATGGCTTACGGCAACAGTACAACCAATAACAGTAGCCACATAAAAGAGCAAAATAGAAATACATATTTCCATAGACATAACATAAGCGCATCAGTTGTCTTGACAAGAGAAACCTGTGTCATCACTTTAAAGCAGAGTTCCACCCACTCAAAAAAAAAAAAAAGTCAGCAGCTACAAAAACTGTAGCTGTTGACTTTAAAAAACAGCCACTTACTTGTCCCTCAGTCCTGTGGTGTGTCCCCCCAGCCCGTTTCACCAGCCATCCTGTATTCCCGGAGGCCGGCATCTTCAGTTTGGGCACAGCGCACAGCTTCACAGCCGGGTGCCCACTGCGCATGCGTGAGTAGCGCTGCGCTTCATGAATGGTCCTGTAGTCTTCTGGGACTTGTCACGTGTCCCAAAAGACTACAGGAAGGGAGGGAGGACACCTTCTGATCGCCTAGGTCAGGGGTGGCTAACCTGTGGCTCTCCAGCTGTTGTGGAACTACATTTCCCATGAGGCATTGCAAAGATGGGAAGTTACTGACTTGCAGAGGCATGATGGAACTTGTAGTCCTGCAGCAGCTGGAGAGCCGCAGGTTGGCCACCCCTGGCCTAGGTGATTGGACCAGAAGTGGGAGTGGGTACCTGTCAAATTTGGGTACCCGCTCCCCCCCCCTTCCCCAAAGGTGCCAATCCTTAATGGGGAGCGGGGGAGCAGTCCTTAAAGCAGAACTTCCCCTTTTGGGTGGAGCTCCGCTTTAAAGAGTCAATACCAACAGTATTATATGTAGGCAAGGCCAAGGACAAACCTAAAACAGATTGTGACGATACTGTCAAACGTCTCCGTGTAAGAGGAGTGTCTGTGCCCCAAGCTGCACCTCACATTTTCCGGTTTCATCATAAAGTAGCCCAAGACAAAGAGGATAAAGTGGGGAAAGGCCAGCCGAAGAAGGGGGAATACATTCAACACCATCCCCTCCCAGGCTGACCTTGAATCCCATCAGAACAGATAATGGGAGCCATCCATGAATCACACCACTAGAGAAGCATATTCCTCTGAATAAATAAAGTCGTGCCAGTAATGCCATTTCTTGAGATCACCCCTCTCCGCCTCCACCAAATCCTCCATCGTGTTAATGTCTGCCACCCTCCGCAACCATACCAAAGTAGTCGGAGCTTGAGTCTGCTTCCAAAACAGGGATGCAGCTTTTAGCCGCTGTCAATAGTAGCGGCAGAATGGAACGTCTGTAGGACCAGGATAGCCATGATGATGCAGAAGCTAGAATGCAGGTTCCCTAACAAGCACATGATCCATAAACTCCTGGGTTATACGATGAACTCCATCCCAAAACGCCTGTAGCCGGGAGCAGGTCCAAAAAATGTATAGCAGAGAGCCCGTCTCCTCCCCACACCCCCAACACCGATCACTACAGTGAGAAAACATGTTTCTCAGCTTGGCAGGTGTATAATACCAGCGTGTCAGCAGCTTAAAACCGGATTCCTGATACTTAGAACAGATCGACATTTTACAGGCAAATTTGAGGATCCTCTCCACCTGCACATCAGTAAAGCTCAGCCCCAGACAGGGGCGGACTGTGAACTCATGGGGCCCCCGGGCAATAGGGGATCATGGGGTCCCTATGTCCTTGCCCACACTCAAAAAACCCTTTAAAAAGGTACCAGAGGCATTTCATGGGGCCCCCTACTGACCCCGGGCCCAATGGTCAGTCCACCCCGGCCCCAGATCTTGTTCCCATTTGAGAATATACGGCTGCATATACGATGTCGATGGGGATACCAGCAGTTGATAAGTCTGAGAAATCGCATGACGAATCGGCGCGTCAGCAGAACACACGTTCTCAAAAGGAGTGAGAGCTCAGCGAAATCCCTCCGCCGCAGGCATAGCCTGAAGAAAGTGTGATAATTGCACCTTATGCCAAAAACATGTTGCTTTTTAATGCAACACAGGTCAAAGCAGAGTTGTCAACAGGGCACATAATCCTTTTGTGTCTATTCTTTGACCTGCATTTTACAAGTGCGCTAAAACGTAGGTCAACGCAAGTCAATGTGTTAAAAAAAAGTTTAAACACGACTAAAATGCGTGGAAGCGTACATACATTTTTAGCGTGTCCGTGTGAATTTCCCCATATTCACAATTGGTGTTTTCCAAAAAAAAAAAAAAAAAAAATCTTTTTCTTTTCAGGTGTTTTGTTTAATACTTAGCATAAATAAAAACAAAAATATACAAAACATTTTATATTTTTCGTTAATAAAAGTCATTTAGATGATTTAGTTTTTTTTCACAATGTATGAATAGTTGAATAGTCTGATAATGTTTCTATTCTGCTCTTCTGCAGCTGATTCTAAGCCATCCCCTGAACCCGTCATCCACCTTCGCTGGAATGATCCTTACTATGACATTGCCAGACATCAAATTGTGGAAGTAGCAGGTAAGAATTTCTTTGTGATTTTTATTGACCTTCTCTAGTCTCATCATTGGATCTGCTCTGTATTCACTGTGAATGTAAAGTTGTACTTTAGTGATTTGCTCTCAAGCTTCATTCATCTTTATAGAGCCCAATAATGACAACTGGTGCATTTGAGAAAATGGTCAACTTACCTGTAACAGCTATTCTATCTAACATACGGTAAAGAAATGCTGGTTGGAGGAGGGTGTATGTGCCTTGGTGACCTACTGAGAGGCACACAGACTACACTATGGGATGTGGGAATATTTATGGCTGTTTCCCTATATACCGCCTAGACCTGTATACTGACTCAGCCTGTAAATGTGATGAGGTAGATAATGGGGTTGCAACTCACAAGCTTCTGTTCCTTCATGTCAAAGTAGTTAAAACGTAAAGTGTTACTAAACCCACAACAGTAAAATCAGTCTGTATATGCAGTAAAGCGTGCTTGTTATACTCACTGTGGAACCTAAGGGGTTAATCCTCTGCATTGTGTAAAAAGCATGTTTGATCCTGACTTCTCTGATCCTCCCCTTCTTCCAGTGTCCCCGCCCCCCCTTTTATCTCCTGATAAGACATGGTGGGGCGACACTCTGCACATGCTCATTTTGGTGTGTATTGCTAGAGAGCTTTTTTTTTTTTTTTCTTGGGAAAAAGAGTGCATGTGATCAGCACAGGGCCAATCAGCACTGTCCAGAGAGAGGTCACTGGTTCTGCATCCTCCTAGAGCAGAAAGAATAGTCCTCCTACAAGCTTTAACATGTGCTCTGCTAGACACTGATAGAAGTCACAAGACTGCTCTAACTGCCGATGGGAAAAGGGATTTCTGATCCTCCCCTACTTCCACAGTCCCCAATCCATCTGCTGATAGAACAGAGCCTTGGGGGCAAGCTGCACATGCTCGATTTTGTGTGTGTTGCTAGAGAGGTTTTTTGTTGTTTTGTTTTTTTCTTTGGGAGAGTGCATGTGATCAGCACAAGGCCAATCGGCGCTGTCCAGAAGAAAGGTCAGGGGTCCTGCAGCCTCATAGGGCAATCAGGGGAGAATGAAAACTCCTCCTACAAGCTTTAACCAGTGCTCTGCTGGACACTGATAGAAGTCATACGACTGCTCTAACTGCTGATGAGAAAAGGTGTTTAGCAATTTATATTTATTAAAATAATTGCATTTCCATGTCCTGCGTACTGTGGGAGACCAGATATAGTGAATGCAGGGTCCTGGGTTTAGTAACACATTAATAAAATGGTCAAATATAATCTTTTTCTACTTAGAGGAACTGAGTCCCTGAAGCTGTGCCCAAAAAGGTAGGCAGAGGGCAAAGGACAAGTCACCAGTTTGCTTGTGCTCTCTTCAGCTGATTCTTTCCTCATTAATGACTTACTATACCTTGTTCTACACATCTCACACTGTTACTGTATGCTGCAGGTAGGAGTGCCTAGGCATACTCCCATACCGGGAACTACTCTGCTGGGTTTTTTTTAGTAGGAGGCAAACTGTAACATTTTTAGGGTATAGCTTATGTGCATTTAACATTTATTAATGTTCATTTTAACATAGAAAATATTCACTTTTTGAGTTAGGCCTCATGTACACTGCTACTGCTCAACTAGCCGCATTTAGTGCTTGGGTGTTTATTCATGTCAATGGAAAATACTCTGGCCAATCAAATGAATAAACATCCAAGCACTAAACGCGGTACCGTGTGTACATGCATTTTTGACGCGTTTTATTGTTCTTTCTGTTGCCAGGAGAGCTAAACATCTAGGAGAGTTCATGTGTACACGAGGCCTTAGAAGTTTGCACAATTGTAATGATGGAAGCCTAATGGTTCAAGTTCTTATAGGAACTCAGCCTTGACAGCATACTTGTACATTATAGCAAACATACCCTTTTAACAAACCCTCCTCCAGCCATGCAAGACCCCTGCGTCTCCTCTGCCATCTTACCACTGACCTTCTGCATTCTTTTGTCTTCAGCTGTTGGGTGGCTTGCAGTGTCTCCACAACCATCACTTACTTCCGGGATCTGTAAAATGTGAGGATAGTATACTGTATGGCACATGCAAAGCACTAGATGTACTTTGATTAAAAAAAATTGATAGCAGGAAGAGAATCAGGTTTTTAGGTTAGAACATACATACCGAGTCTCTTCTGCTGGTTAACTCTACCTGCTACCAATTTTGTTGTTTAACTTCAGTCCCACTTTTGACTTAATCTTGTTCAGCTGTTTTCACTCAATGTCTTCGTTTTCTTTCTACTATAAAAAAGTCTTTTGAATTCCAGAGAGTCGCAGTTCAAAATTGTTACATCACTTAGTGCTTGTTAATGTTGAGCAGTTTGGTTCCATGTACTCTGTCCACTTCAAGTGGAACTACACTGCATCTGAGCACCACAAACCAAAAACACAATTTAATTCATTTTTAATATTCAAAGCAAACTCGCCCATCCATTCATTTCTCTATGCTTTATATTGCTGTGAAATCACTTTGAAAAACACCCCATAGCATTTCTAGTTGTGGACATCATCAGTAAGGGCAGATGATTCATGTAGCATTTACTTCCTGGAATCCATCTGCCCTTAGCTCAGGTGTGTGGGCGGAAGGGTGTGCTTTACTGAGAAAACCCTTCCTTTCCCGAAGACTCCAGGGATGTATGACATCATCTTAATAACCTCCCATGGCTTTAAGTACCATCTCTATGCTGATGACACACAAATCTATCTTTCTACCCCTCACCTCATCCCTTCAGTCTCCTCTCTCATCACTAACCTACTAAGTGACATATCGGCATGGATGTCACTCCACTTTCTCAAACTCAACCTTTCCAAAACTGAGCTCTTAGTATTCCCCCCAGCCCTTGCCCCCACCCCTGACTTCTCCATCAAGATCAATAACACAATCATCATTCCCTCCCTTCATGCCAGGGTACTAGGTGTAATCTAGACTCCCATCTGTCCTTTCAGCCCCAAATCCAATCTTGTAGACTTCACCTCCGCAACATCTCCAAGATACGCCCGTTCCTAACCTCGGAAACTACTGAGCAACTTATTCACTCCCTGGTTATATCTCACCTTGACTACTGTAACTCCCTCCGCATTGGCCTACCTAATCGCAGGCTATCCCCACTCCAGTCCATCATGAATGCTGCTGCCAGACTCATCCACCTTACTAACCGTTCTGTATCTGCCACCCCTCTCTGCCAATCTCTCCACTGGCTTCCCATTGCCCAATGGCTAAAATTCAAAACACTAACAACATATAAAGCCATTTATATCTCTGCCCCAAATTACATCACCGATCTTGTCTCTAAATATCACTCAAACCGTACTCTCCGCTCCTCGCAGGACCTCCTGCTCTCTAGCTCCCTTGTCTCTTCCTCCCATGCTCGTCTCCAGGACTTCTCCAGAGCTTCCTCCATCCTCTGGAACTCTCTACCCCAATTTATCAGACTACCGCTTACTGTGCTCACGTTTAGGTGATCTCTGAAAACCTATCTCTTCAGGGAAGCCTATCCTGCCCTCAGCTAACACTGGAATCTTCTACTCTTCCAACCAGTCCATCCCCCACAGTTACTACCATTTGTACCACTAGCCCCTCCCTCCTAGATTGTAAGCTCCAAGGAGCAGGTCCCTCAAATCCCTCTTGTATTGTTGCTGTATTGTCTCCCGTTATATTGTAAAGCGCTGAACAAACTGTTGGCGCTATATAAATCCTGTATAATAATAATAATAATTTGCTTAGGCAGGAAACCAGGAAGTAACTGAATAAATGTAAAAAAAAGTTTAAAACCAGCATGCATGAACCCTTTCCTATCTATTTACTAATGGTAGCAGCATAGGGATTAAAAATAGTCAATGCTGACCGAGAGAGTGAAGTTCCACTTTAAGCATCTGAAACACTTGTTAAGAATGTCCATCACATGCCAATTGTTTTCAGGCCTTTATGTTCCCTGTATTAGAAGTGTCTGACCGCAACTGCAGACTTTCTGCATGGAAAATCAACAAATGATGAACCCAGGTGTTCAGTAAACCAGTATTATACTGCAGGAACTGACATGTTGGTTGAATATACCGTTGGAATTCTTTGCTTCCAGCAGACCATCAGACAGACCATCGCTGAGCTCACTCATGACCCGAGTTGTAGATTTTTGCCTGGTGAACAAGATAAGGCATTTTACACATACTTTGCATAGCATGTTATGTTTATTCAGTTCTGCTTGAGGTTTCCAAAGGCTGCTTCTTGTGATCATTTCTAATCTGGGCAGCAGCAAGAATCCTCCAACTTGGTGCAACATATATTGATTGTTTTGTGGGTTTTTTTCTGTTATACTTCTACTTTCATAATTTTTGTATTTAAATCCACATGGTGCAAAGTTTATAAAAATAAACTCTGTTTTTGCCCCTTTTACTCGCCTAATTCAGCTTCACATGGTTTCAATCTCGAGCCTTCTATTTTCTTTTATGCATGAAGCTGGGTCCTTCAGGTGTCCCATGTCTTGACATGGGTTGTGACATGGACACTTCCTATTGGCTTTTCAGCAGCAGGGTCCTCTCAGGATCCAAAAAACGAACTAGAGTGATGACATGACCATGATGGGACCAGCTGAAGAAGCCATGTATGCATCGCTGGATTACCATTCCCCACCATGCTGGCAAAGAACACAGACAGCTAAACTCCAGGCACAGAGATTTTCACTTAAATATATTCCTCATTGCATGTCCACCGGTCGGGCCCTGCGGTCCGCGCCAGGGTGCGGATGGCGGGGTCACTCCGGTGGGATACTGGTGGGGGCCACCTTGCTTTTGCTTTTTGCCATTTCCGTCTCCCAACCCTCTCTTTTTTCCTCATTCATCATCTTTACCACTGGCCTCTCATTTTTTTTTTTCTTCTCTTTTTTTCTGCTTTTTTTCCTCCTTTTTCTCAGTTTGGATCTATACTCTTGGTTATACGAAGTTCTCTCATTTTGTTCCATACATCTCGCCCAGGGATACCCCCCCAAACTATGTTTTGTCATATCTCTGTAATATGTGTTATTGATCCTTACCTCTTGCTGTTGTGTAGAATCATTTTCATCCATCCACATGGATCATAGCCACACCGGTGATGTTTTTCTGCCCATTTACTTGTACATGTTATTATTTCTCATGCTTTGTTCTGTTAAATTTTAACCATCTACAGCTAGGCCAAACAGCTTAGTGAAATATGTTGTATTTTTGTTTGTTTTTTTGTTTTTTTATTCATGGGAAGTGCTGGGTGTTTGCTTTTGGCTCCCTGAGCTAAACGGAACATAAGGGACGTGAGGAAAAGGTATATGGGGAATCATAGAAAACCTGTAGGCTTGCTAGGAGCAGAGGAACTGCTTCTGAAGGACCCCCCCCAGTGTACTATTAGTTGAGATCCTGTCCCAGACATGCCTCCTAATGAAGTAATTTGATTAGGAATTCCTTCATGGAACTTTCAATGCTCAGTGACTTCATTATGCAGTTTTGCTTCATCTTGTATGTTTTTTTTTTTTTCTTTTCTCTGTTTGTGTGATCTTTTGCTGCGTGCTCCCTTGAGCACATAAACATGTCTTTGGAAAGTTGTAGCCTCCCGCAGAGACAGTGGAAAAATGATGATGATGTTGTTGTTGTTTTGTTTTAGGTTTTTTTTTTTTTTTATTACAATGCAACTCCAGGCAACAACATTGTGCCTGGATGGGGCTATGGACTTATCCTCTTCCCTCCCCGGAGATCTACAGCTGTGCTTCCTGTGAAAGTAGATCAAAGCTATCTGTAACCCCGATTCAGACTGATGTGGTGCAGGAAATGCAGCGATTCCTGTGCATTTCCCGCACCGCATAGCAATTGCCCTGCGATCTGCTGCGGGTGTCAGTGGAAATTTAATGATCTCTCAAAAGCGGTTTGCAAACGCTGCCTGTTTGCCTGAACTGGATCACTTGGGTATAAACACTTGTGTGATTCTATTCCACTGCGAATAAACCAAAAAAAAATGCCCGCACGCTTTTCATGTGGATGTGGTGCAATTTGAGCCATTGAAAATTTAATGGCGCAAATCGCTTTGCCTCTGCCCCCCCCCCCCCCCCCCCCCTCAATGGCTGTGAGCGCTCATCAGTGTGTTCTGCGGGTGGGGGGCAGTCCACCTGTCGGAACACAACTTAGCGAGGATCGCCGCACTAACATTGCTTAGTTAGTACAGCGATCTATCAGGTTTTTTATTTTTTCTTTCAACCTGCTGGGTTTAACAAAAAAAAAAAACTCCCCATGTGTAACCTGCATTAGCTATGTATAGGCACTCATAGAATGTTTTGTACCTGAGCCACAGAGGAGAAACCCTACCCCCCTCATACACTTCCCAACCCTTCACTCCTGTCAGCCCTCAGCTTTCATCTTCACCCTTTCCTGCTCCTTCCCTTTTTTTTTCCCATGATCTCTCCTTCCTTGTGTTTCTAGTTTACCTTGAGAACCTTCAAACTAGGCTAACCTCCGTACCAGGGGCGGACAAACCATTTGGAAACTCGGGTACTGCCCGAGGGCCCGGGGTCAGTAGGGGGCCCCATGAGATGTCCCTGGTACTTTTTCATAGGCTTTTTTGAGTTTGCGCAAGGACACGGGCCCCATGATCCCCTATTGCCCGGGGGCCCCATGAGTTGTCAGTCCGCCCCTGCTCCGTACAGGACATCCTCACTAGACTCCTGACTCGCCTGTCTGATCAGAGTAAATTTCAAGGCTTGCCTACCCAATCTGCTTTCATGATGACCGCTCATGTGTGCATGCCTGATTGTTCAGCTTTTATAGAAATTAAAGGACTGTAAAAAAAAAAAAAAAAAGACTTTTGGTTACAAATCAGTTGGATAAGTATAAGAAAGGAACATCACCCATTACAGGAAGAAAAACTCATGTAAACTCTCCTTCACATCCTTTTTACAACTGTCATGGCAGACTGAGTTGCCTTAGATTGCTGTCAACAGGTGCCAAAATTGATGAGAGCCTTCTGTCTGTCTTTCATTCCTTTCATCCGCAGTCTATTTTTGTGACCATTTTATAAATCCATGTACACATGAGCACCTAGGGAACCATCATTCTCCTACTCTTTATCAGTATACATTCGCATTCTTTATGGCACATATTATTCTTCATGTGGTCGGCAGAAAGATCTGAAATATTCTGTCAGTGTGGTTGGGCAGCTGCCATCACTCCTCAACCTCACCAGATGGATTCTTGTGAAGGTGAAGAACAATGTTTCTCAACCTTTTTTTCAGTCAAGGCACCCTTTAAATTCTGCACAGTCTTGAGGCACCCCATTCTAAAATGTAAGAAATAAGCTAAGTTTAGCAATATCATAGCAGATCCACATAGATACATTACACCCAACATTAGAGGTCATTTATTGTTACATCTGTACACTGGTATTGGCTAGTATTAATATGTTTCTATTGTCCCTCACTCTGCTAACGTGACCCTAGCTCAGTGTTTCTCAACTCCAGTCCTCATGGACCCCCAACAGGTCATGTTTTCAGGATTTCCATTATTTTGCACAGGTGATTTGATCAGTTTCACTGCCTTAGTAATTACCACAGCTGTTTCATCTGAGGGAAATCCTGAAAACATGACCTGTTGGGGGTCCATGAGGACTGGAGTTGAGAAACACTGCCCTAGCTGATGGAGACGCCAACGACGTCATCGTTTGTTAGGATATCCCAGGGTGCCCAAGGTTGTAATGATGCACAATAATACCCTGTGGCTTTGTGTAACAAAAAGGCTGGCTTGATCAACTGGCTTATTGGCCAATTTTTTGTCAGTTTGTGGCATTTTTTTAGGCATTTTGTCAATACGCCCCTAAAGCACCCAGAAGGCACCCCAGGATGTCACACCACCCTAGTTCACAAAGGCTGGTGTAGCATACAACCGCAATCTGTAATCATGGCCTGGTTGAGGGGTAGGCAAAAGAGGTGGGATGGGTCCAAAAAAGGCAGGACCTGTACTTTATGCTGCTGTTGTAGTGGCTAGACTAGAGGCTGCACTTTGGACTTTAAGCCTCAGGTGCAAAAGAAGTTTGTCCCAGCACTGTCTGGAATAAGGCCCCTTTCTCATGGGGTGGACTCTACCTGGAGGCTGCTTGCTCAGTGGGAGATCTGTCCCCCGACAACTTTTGTGCCGAAAAGCAAAGGGCAAAGCTTAAACTTGTGACGTCATCACACTGTTTACTCCGTGGTTACTATGTATCTATGGATTTACGCTATGTGAGCTTCCTTGCTTAACTTTCATGCTATGATGTGTTACCATTCTTGGATGTGGTATTTTATTGACTACAAGAAGAATTGTGGAGGCTTTTTGAAATGTGATCGTTATCATTGATGGTCCTATATGGAGATGTGGAGGAGTTGAGATCCAATTCAGAGGTTTCAACCATATGCCTTGTTGACTCTTTTCACCAGAAGAGTCCATATGTTCCAGTAAGAGTCCTCTATTCTTATGGTAGTGGTGCACTTCAGTGTTCGAAGATGTGGTGATACACAAGGATTTCATCGTTATGGTGTACAGCATCACTGAGACTTTTGTATTACATTTTTTTTATATTGAGGACTTGGATAACACAGGTTTCTTATTATTTGATGTATTGTTTCTTTGATCACATATTTTAATATTTATACAGGATTGAAATCTTGTCATCTTATCTAGCATGACAATAAATAAATACACTATATTGCCAAAAGTATTGGGCCGCCTGCCTTTACACGACATGAACTTTAATGGCATCCCAGTCTTAGTCCGTAGGGTTCAATATTGAGTTGGCTATGATAGCTTCAACTCTTCTGGGAAGGCTGTCCACAAGGCTTAGGAGGGTGTCTATGGGAAGGTTTGATCATTCTTCCAGAAGCACATTTGTGAGGTCAGGCACTGATGTCGGACGAGAAGGCCTGGCTCACAGTCTCCGCTCTAATTCATTCCAAAGGTGTTCTATCAGCTGAGGTCAGGACTCTGTGCACGCCAGTCAAGTTCCTCCACCCCAAACTCGCTCATCCATGTCTTTATGGACCTTGCTTTGTGCACTGGTGTGCAGTCATGTTGGAACAGGAAAGGGCCATCCCCAAACTGTTCCCACAAAGTTGGGAGCATGAAATTGTCCCAAATGTCTTGGTATGCTGACACCTTAAGAGTTCCCTTCGCTGGAACTAGGGGGCCAAGCTCAACCCCTGAAAAACAACCCCACACCATAATCCCCCCTCCACCAAACTTTACTCTTGGCACAATGCAATCAGTCAAGTACCGTTCTGGCAACAACCAAACCCAGACACGTCCATTGGGTTGCCAGACAGAGAAGCGTGATTAATCACTCCAGAGAACAAGTCTCCACTGCTCTAGAGTGCAGTGGCGGCGTACTTTACACCACTGCATCTGCCGCTTTGCATTGCACTTAGTGATGTAAGGCTTGGACCCATTCCATGAAGCTCTCTACGCACTGTTGTTGTGCTAATCTAAAGGCCATACACAGTTTGGAGGTCTTTAGCTATTGACTCTGCAGACAGTTGGCGACTTCTGCGCACTGTGCGCTTCAGCATGTGCTGACCCCACTCTGTCATTTTACGTGGACTACCACTTGGTGGCTGAGTTGCTGTTGTTCCCGGTTGCTTCCACTTTGTTATAATACCACTAACAGTTGACTGTGGAATATTTAGTAGCAAGGAAATTTCATGAATGGACTTATTGCACAGGTGACAACCTATCACGGTACCACGTCTGAATTCACTGAGCTCCTGAGAGAGATCCATTCTTTCACAGATGTTTGTAGAAGCAGTCTGCATGCCTAGGTGCTTGATTTTATATACCTGTAGCCATGAAGGTGATTGGAACACCTGAATCCAATGATTAGGAGGGCGGGCCCAATACTTTTGGTAAGTGTGTGTTTCTGGCTGGTCCAAATCCAGTCTGCTGACACAGCCCACTCTCCTGTATGGGCGGTTGGATGTAAACGGACCACCTGTCCGTTTACACCAGACTACCATCTGATCCACTAGACGGATAGGGAACTGACCCTCATCCATCTTTTATTGGATTGGATGTAGGTGGGTGTAAGCAGACACATATCTGTTTACACCCGCTGCTCTGAGGGTCTGATCCATTTTTCAGGTGGACCTCATCGGACCACTAGTGTGAAAGGGGGTTAAGTTGGGTTTCTGTAAAGCTAACCATATGCTAGCAAATGTTTGTATGAACCTTTTGTTTAAAAAAAAAAAAATAAAAAAAAAAAAAAAACCTCCTCAGTATATTTGACACAGTCTGTCAGAGACTTGATTGATTATAGTTTAAAAAATACTTTGTTTTCTTGTAACATGTGGTTTTGGAATGAATGGAATTTCCCGAAGAAAAAATACATTGACTGTTAAGAGTTTTGTTTGTTAAAGAGAAAAATCCATCATGTCCCTTCTATTCTCTTTTAACCTCTATGGTTGAACGGTTGTCAATTTAACCCATTTCATTATTTGAAAAATTTCATTTCAGAACATAGATTTAATTTTCTAATGAAAGTCTATTGGTGTATGGCCAGTTTGTCAGAGCACTGTGAAATGTTTTAAAAAATTAAAAAGGTTTTTTATTTATTTATTTATTTATTTTTTTAATTAATATGACCGACCATGAGTTGTCAGTCCGCCCCTGCTGCTGTGATATTGTGTTTTCTCAAAAGGGAAACTCATCCATTGTCATTAATCAGCACTGCAGCCAATTGGCTGCATGCACTGATCCAAAGAAAATTAGAACGACTTCTCTTAAGATGGAATGGCCATAGATGGATCGAAATTTGTCCATCCCTTACTGGACGATTTGTGATCCATGTATGGCCAGCTTTATACTAGGTGATGTCATCAGGGTGGGGAGCAGGGGTGAACTGACAACTCATGGGGCCCCCGGGCAATAGGGGATCATGGGGCCCCTCTGTCCTTGCCCAAACTCAAAAAAGCCTATGAAAAAGGTACCAGGGGCATCTCATGGGGCCCCTACTGACCCCGGGCCCTCGGGCAGTGCCAGAGTTTCCAAATGGTCAGTCCGCCCCTGGTGGGGAGTGTCTGAAATCAGCCAGTTGTCTCAACTTGGGTGGGGCCCAACTCTGTGTAAACTTGTCATTGATCCACATCGCCTTGAAGGCTGCCATAGTAATGACTGGGTTTTGATGTTTTAGCCGTGGTTCACACTGATGCGGTGCGGAATTTGCAGCATTTTCAGTGTGAATTCCGCACCGCATCACAAACACACCCTGTTCATATGAACCGATGCGGGTGTGTATGTTAACAACACACCGACATCGGTCTGCAAGACGCGGTGCGATGTGTGAATACCTATGCCATCCAATTCTAGTGCGGACCCAAAAACGGGAACTGCGCATTTTTAAGTGCGGTTCGGATAGAGCCATACAAAATGTACGGCTTTAATCGCACCGCATACACATCGCATGTGATTTGCACAGGAATTGACAAAATGTCACGTCTGCCTGTATAACATCTTTAGTCTAGGTTCACACTACAGCGGTACAGCAAATCCCATGTGATTCGCACAGGAACCGCACCGCTGTAGTGTGAGCCTAGGCTAAAGATGTTATACAGGCAGACGTGACATTTTGTTAACAATCTCTAATATCTGCTATACGTTTTTAGTGTGTTAGTTTCATTTTAAAGATCATGTTCAGTATTTTATGATCAGAGCTTTGATTAAAACAACGTGCTTGTTCAGGTCTTCCCTGTTACAGCACTCTGTCCCTGTCACCCTGTGTTATATGGGGTTCCTCTACAGACAACGTGACTGTTTAGGTCTTCCCTGTTACAGCACTCTGTCCCTGTCACCCTGTGTTATATGGGCTTCTTCTACAGACAACGTGCTTGTTCAGGTCTTCCCTGTTACAGCACTCTGTCCCTGTCACCCTGTGTTATATGGGCTTCCTCTACAGACAACGTGACTGTTCAGGTCTTCCCTGTTACAGCACTCTGTCCCTGTCACCCTGTGTTATATGGGCTTCTTCTACAGACAACGTGACTGTTCAGGTCTTCCCTGTTACAGCACTCTGTCCCTGTCACCCTGTGTTATATGGGCTTCTTCTACAGACAACGTGACTGTTCAGGTCTTCCCTGTTACAGCACTCTGTCCCTGTCACCCTGTGTTATATGGGCTTCTTCTACAGACAACGTGACTGTTCAGGTCTTCCCTGTTACAGCACTTGTCCCTGTCACCCTGTGTTATATGGGCTTCCTCTACAGACAACGTGACTGTTTAGGTCTTCCCTGTTACAGCACTCTGTCCCTGTCACCCTGTGTTATATGGGCTTCCTCTACAGACAACGTGACTGTTTAGGTCTTCCCTGTTACAGCACTCTGTCCCTGTCACCCTGTGTTATATGGGCTTCCTCTACAGACAACGTGCTTGTTCAGGTCTTCCCTGTTACAGCACTCTGTCCCTGTCACCCTGTGTTATATGGGCTTCCTCTACAGACAACGTGACTGTTTAGGTCTTCCCTGTTACAGCACTCTGTCCCTGTCACCCTGTGTTATATGGGCTTCCTCTACAGACAACGTGACTGTTTAGGTCTTCCCTGTTACAGCACTCTGTCCCTGTCACCCTGTGTTATATGGGCTTCCTCTACAGACAACGTGCTTGTTCAGGTCTTCCCTGTTACAGCACTCTGTCCCTGTCACCCTGTGTTATATGGGCTTCCTCTACAGACAACGTGACTGTTTAGGTCTTCCCTGTTACAGCACTCTGTCCCTGTCACCCTGTGTTATATGGGCTTCCTCTACAGACAACGTGACTGTTTCAGTATTTATAATTTGTATGGTACACGGTTATCACCATCGGGAAACCCGCCCTGAGAAATGAAGTGCAGCTATGCAGAAGTGAGTGCATGTAGATGGGGAAGTGGCTGCAACGAGACTGCAGGAGATCAGCAGCATGAAGATAAATAATAAGATGAATAATGAAAGCGTAAAAGCAGCTTGTTTGACAAGTCCTTCATGCTGCATGTTTGGCGCACTTTCAAAACCGCATATGTGTGGATTTTTTTTTTCTTTCTTTTTTCTTATAAAACAACTACAGTGAGTAAACTATAACTAATATTTTTTTTTAGAAATTTTCAGAGGCAAACGCAGTAGATTATTATTATTATTATACAGGATTTATATAGCGCCAACAGTTTGCTCAGTGCTTTACAATATAAAGCGCTGAGCAAACTGTTTGTGGGAGCAAACGGAGTGTAGGGGGGAAACCGGAGTACCCAGAGGAAACTCACGCAGGCACAGGGAGAACATGCAACCTCCAGGCAGGTGGTGCCGTGGTTGGGATTCGAACCAACGGCCCTAGTACTGCTAGGTGGAAGTGCTAACCATTTAGCCACTGTGCTGCCCTATACCAGCTATGGCTCCCACTGCCAAAACCCATGAGGCAGAAACCATCTTCCGGTGTCTGGGCATTGCTCATGCGGCTGGCATCAGATGGAGGATAATTTAGTGGACTGGAGGAGTGAGATGTCTCTCTAATATTTTCAAGGGTCGCACAGTGATTTGACTAACAGTATAGGCCCACGTTACATTTTATGTAGCTAACTTCCTATGATTTGTGCTGCATGGCATGTCTTCACTTTGAAAAAAGCTGGAGATTGCTAATGGTAAACATTGGTTTTGTATCAGGAAAGGCAAGCCATCTAGGCTGTCATCACATTCTTCCACCCTATATATAAATAGTTTGTGTCTATTAAAAGTGAGTGTGATTTGTGTAGCTTGGCAGTGAGTAGAGCCCGGTATAATGTGTTTTAGTTCTAAGCAGTTTTATGCCGCTGTGTTCCCTTTTAATAGCTGCCTGGTTCCTGCTCTCAGGGGATGGTTGATAAGACGGTTTCTCACAGCCTGGGGCTGCAATGAGTCTGCAGATAGGACTTCAGCCTTCCCTATAAGGACATTCTAGTTCTTATAAAACCATTGCTCAATTATAAAGCATGAGCTTCCCTGAGGGAGTGCATATCACTCAGAGCTACTTCTCTGTCAGAAATGGAACAACAACATTGGGGACGTTGGCCATGGCTAGGGCTGCCAGCATTGCTACTCAAAGTATTATTAAACCCACAATAGTAAAATCAGTCTGTATATGCAGTAAAGCATGCTTGTTATATTCACTGTGAAACTCTGCATTGTGTAAAATGCTCTGATCCTCCCCTTCTACTGTCCCCAATACATCTGCTCATAGCATGTGCAGCTTGCCCCCTCTTTTCTAAGTTTTCTGTGTATTGGTGAAGAGTTTTGTTTTGTTTGTTTTTTTTCTTGGGAGGGTGCATGTAATCAGCAGAGGGCCAATTAGCACTTTCCAGACAGAGGGTCAGGGGTTATGCATCCTCTGAGGACAACAAAAACTCCTCCTACTAACTTTAACCACTGCTCTACTGGACACTGATAGAAGTCAGAAGACTGCTGTTTAGAAAAAGTATTTGGCAGTATATATTTACTCCAATAATTGCATTTCCATGTTCTGTGTATGGTGTGAGACCATTTATAGTGAATGCAGGGTCTGGGGTTTACTAACACTTTAAGAATAACGGTTGGGATGGGTTTGAACCAACGACCCTAGTACTGCCAGGCAGAAACGCTAACCATTTAGCCAGTGTGCTGCCCTACAAATCACGCTTCTCTGTCTGGCAATCCAATGGACGTGTCTGGGTTTGGCAGTTGCCAGGATAACGGTACTTGTCTGGCTGCATTGTGCCAAGTGTACAGTTTGGTGGAGGGGGATTCTGGTGTGGGGTTGTTTTTCAGGGGTTGGGCTTGGCCCCCTGGTTCCAGTGAAGGGA